CTGCATGTTTGAAGTGGAGCTGCATTGCCTTTCCACTTGTGTGATAATTTTTTTCAGTAACAAGAGCAAATGCAGGTTATTGAGATGTGTGGAAAAGAAATCCCTTCTGCCTTGCCTTTTCCACAAACAACAAAAATAATAGGTTGACTCTAAACCTATTAGACGTGTTGAAATCAATGGGAATTAAGGTAATAATCCACTGATTTCTGTAGGGTTACTCTAAATATTGCTCATCCTGGATCAATCACAACCACTACTAAAAAATTACAAAGGAACAAACTGCTCGCTTGTGTTCAGCTGCCCCTTCTAACTTGCCTTTTCCACAAACAACAAAAATAATAGGTTGACTCTAAACCTATTAGACGTGTTGAAATCAATGGGAATTAAGGTAATAATCCACTGATTTCTGTAGGGTTACTCTAAATATTGCTCATCCTGGATCAATCACAACCACTACTAAAAAATTACAAAGGAACAAACTGCTCGCTTGTGTTCAGCTGCCCCTTCTAACTCCCTACTATAGGTAATAATCCACTGATTTCTGTAGGGTTGCTCTAAATATTGCTCATCCTGGATCACAACCACTACTAAAAAATTACGAAGGAACAAACTGCTTGCTTGTGTTCAGTTGCCCCTTCTAACCCCCTACTATGTAATCAAAACAAAGTGATTTATTTGTTAGGGACATTTAATTAAAAGGCTGGAAAGAAATGTATTGTAGAACTTAGAATCACATTGTCTATTACCTTAGCAATTCCCTATTGTTGTGATATAGGAAGTCGACTTAGCCTAAATATGGAGTTTGATGAGGGACCATGTTGTGTAGGTGTCAAAGTGTTGGATGGACTGGGACTTAAGAGAGCCATTTTCTAGGCCTCACTGAGCCCTGAAACTCACTGAGTGACCTTGAGTCAGTTATTCTGTCTTAGCATGATATACCTCACAGGGTTGTTGGCCTGAAGATAATGTGAAGAAGAGGCATCAAATTTGCCTTGAGCTCATTGGAAGAAAGGCAGGATATAAATGTGATCTGCAGTCAGTAAGTAAGTAAGTAAGTAAGTAAGTAAGTAAGTAAGTAAGTAAGTAAGTAAGTAAGTAAGTAAGTAGGTAGGTAGGTAGAGCTCATTGGAAGAAAGGCAGGACATAAATGTGATCTGCAGTAAGTAAGTAAGTAAGTAAGTAAGTAAGTAAGTAAGTAAGTAAGTAAGTAAGTAAGTAAGTAAGTAAGTAAGTAAGTAAGTAAGTAAGTACATTTTTTAAAAAATCATGGAATAGAATTCAGCAATAGCTGAAATGCAGCAAAAGCCTTTGGAGAGAAATGCAAAGTAGCATTTGGCTGCAAGTTAGAGAGGCAGGCAGGCAGGGAAACACACAGATTATTCCTTCCATTGCAACTGCACAACCTGGAAATTAAGTTGAAAAAACTTGGCAGAGATTTAGTGGTGGCAGATGCGGTCTCTGGAGCATTTGACAAAACTCCAGTGAAACAAAGTTGGATCTTCAATGTGTTATTTTAATTTTTTTAATGAAAGAAAGAGTGAACCTTGATCCCAAGTAAAAGTACTGCTTCAGGCTATGTGATGTCAAGGGAAATTATTCCAGAAATTATATTCTAGGCTTAATTGTCAGATGCAAGGGGATTTTCAAGATACACATTGGATTCTGCCTATGGATTTTAAGCTGACAATAGAACATTCCCATGGTGTTTTAATGTGTGACTGCTCTTCCCTACAGTTGTTGGCATTTCAGTTCCCACTTTAGGTTACCAGTAGGAGAGAAAGGCGAGTTAAAAATCAAATACATAGATAAATTAATATCAGACTGCCTCGCTTGATATTTTAAATCAATATCAGATTGTCTCTCCTGTTTACCATTGATGAATACTGTACTCTTTTAGTTACTATATCATATTTTACTGTATGATGCTAACTTTGATATAAAGGTTTCTTTTGAATATTTTGATTGTCTATAGCATGATCAGTTTATTATGGGAATGCTAATCTTGTTGATTTGCATGGTTGGCTGGGTTAGAAGATGCTTCGTTAACAGTTTTATTTTTTACAAATGCAGCCAGAAAGTACAGATAGAGAAAAGGAACAGAGGGTGGTGGTTTGGTTTGGTTTGAGCGACCTGGCAGAAAGCAGCTTTCAGATACTGTGAGAAATACACTCTGCTTTAGGGAGAATTTACAGGCTTATTTAGACCATAAACACCAGTCTAATGATGTTAAATTTATAACACTGATTAGAAACAATTGGATTCTTGATAGGATTTTGGTGGTGATCATCATCTAAACACTGTTGTTATTTTGCTTTTGTGCTTTCATCTGTCAGAAAAAAAATAAATATGTCAAAGGAAGCAATATGACTGGAAATTTAGTGCACACAGTGTGGTGAAAAAAGAACTATAAAACTGTGTTTTTTAATGTGTTCACAATTTGTGTATGTAACTAGACTGGTGGCAGTGGCAATGCAGTGGGGCATTCTGGGAGTATTAATAATCCATAAAAGCAACATTCCAAATTTCAGAGTATACTGTATGTCTGAATGCTATTACAACAGTTAGATATTGTTGTAATAGCAACAATAGAGGGACGTGGTGGCGCTGTGGGCTAAACCGCAGAAGGTGGTGATCATCATCTAAACACTGTTGTTATTTTGCTTTTCTGCTTTCTTCTGTCAGAAAAAAATAAATATGTCAAAGGAAGCAATATGACTGGAAATTTAGTGCATACAGTGTGGTGAAAAAAGAAGTATAAAATTGTTTTTTTTAATGTGTTCAGAATTTGTATATGTAACTAGACTGGTGGCAGTGGCAATGCAGTGGGGCATTCTGAGAGTATTAATACTGTAATCCAAAAAAGCAACATTCCAAATTTCAGAGTATACTGTATGTCTGAATGCTATTACAACAATTAGATATTGTTGTAATAGCAACAATAGTAACAGATGAACTAGTCCTCCCTCCTCTCAAAAATGTCTTATTCTTTGGAGCTATCTCGCCTGGACAAAAATTGTCAAGGGGAACCTTTACCTTTACCTTTTAGCAACAATAGCAATAGATGAACTAGTCTTCCCTCCTCCCAAAAATGTCTTATTCTTTGGAGCTATCTAATCTACTTAAAAAGAAATATTCACTTGATAACTGTGCTTCACCCTGCTTGACAGATGTGTTTTATGTGCTCTCTACTCTCAACTGACTTACAGCAACCCTAACACAGCTTCAAGATAGGTGAGATATATAAGGAATAATTTAACCAGTTCCACTTCATTTCCCCGGTGAGTTTCCATGGTTAAACAGGATTTGGATACATGTCTGCTGAACCCTAGTCCACCACTCAATCCACTGGGTATTGGTTTAACAGTACTGGAGTAGAAGGGCAATGAGAAGCTGAAACAGAATCACTTTGACTGGCCAGCCACCTACAGTAAGCCCCAGCCAAGGGCTTTTTAACAAACTAAATCAATAATAAGGAAAATACTCTCCTGCCCAAACTGCATCACTGATGTGTATTTTCATTTCAGCATATTTAGCCCCATTGACCTCATTAAAATTAATTTTATTTAAAAAAACCACAACTCTAATCATAATAGAACTAATATGGGGCTCTTTCACTCTGCAATGAGGGGAGTCTATGTTTACTACCAAAATATGGTCTGTTGTCACACTGTTTTATGTAAATAACACATAATGCCTACCCCTCAACTAATCTGTTCTCATCACTCACCTCTAAAACAGTGTATTATTTATTTATTTATTTTTGAAGCTGCCATCTGCACTGCAATCTCTGAATAATCACAATGGAAACATACACTTGACTAAGCAATAGATTTCATATGGATTAGAATGTGCAACATTTCCAGAGTCACCATCCAACAGAGTAGATAATATGATCCTTGGGGATTCACCACAGTCATCTTTAACATTGATCTCCTCAAGGAGCAAGATGACAAAAACTGACTATAAAATCAATAGTAAGAGACTTCTAATTCTATGCTTTGCTAACCATAAAATCCAAGAAAAATCCACATATCTGCTTTAGTGCTGTGGGACTCAGTGCCTTCAGGTCTGTGATATTTTCCTGTTAGAAATCCCATGATTCAGGTTTTATAATTGCTTTGGAAAAGTTGCTCTATAGTGAAGTCTTGAAAGCCATGTTTGTGTTTGAGATTGGAAAAAGGCCAAGGGGAACATGTCTTAAACTGTGTTCTTTCTTCCCAGAAGCCAACTTCCTGACCAGAATCCCAGAGTTTTCAGCCCCATTAGAGACGTACGTAGCCTTTTACTTCTGACTAACAATCTGGGTCACATAAACTTTTAACTACTTTAACAAATACTTTGTTATATAGTCTGTGCATCCAGTCCAACTCAGAGACACCAAATTTATACTGAAGGATGTAAAGTAAGCACAAGCACACAGTTGATTTTGTTGTATTTTTTCACATGTTACTTTTTTTTATCCCTACGTATTCCTGTAAGATGTTACTGATCCCTTCTCTCATGAGTAAGTGGTCATTTTATTTTATTAAATTGTGAATCTTTTCTAAGGTCTCTCCAATATCTCAGAAAGAAATGTCTACAGGGGTTTTCTTCAGTTATTTGGGAAGACCATGGGCATGGATCAGAAAAAACCTTTGGCCCACAATATCCAAAGCCCTCTCAATCCCTGGCCATGCCTTCAACAGAGAACTACATAGACCACACATGCAGCCGGTTCAAAGGATTTCTTTTCCATTTCAAGCAGTAGAAAGGAAAACAGTTCAGACCATGAACAAGACTAGAAGAAAGAATGGGACACGAGGTCATTCAGCTGTTATTTCCATCCCTCCACCCTCATTTCAGCTGGCGGCTTCAGATGCTGCACTAAGTCTTGAGGTCAGCTAATAATGGAACTACTCTGCCCAGTCAATCACTTGTTTTAGGCTAGGTGGGAAACTGGAATCTTAAATCAATTAATTTGTAGGTCTGTTAAAAACCATTTACACAGTCAAAAAGGCAGCCATGTTTAATTAGAGAATACATTCTAAAATTATTAATTGTGATCTAAATACTTGTCACATCTGCTGATGGAAGGCACCTTCTTCACGGAGGCATTCCCCCTTGGCTTTCACACAGGAGGGGAATACTTCCCTCTCCAAAAACAGTAAGTGCTGGAACATAGATAGATCTAAGAAATGAAGAAAATATATATGAGGGTTTTTTTCTCCTTTTAAACTGTTTCAATCATAAGCAAACATATGCAGATACAATTAGATAGTCTGTAATCAATAAAATCATCATTGTCTTAGAACTGTAGAGCGGGAAGGGACTGTATGGATCATCAACTCCAGCCCTGGTCAAATAGGCACAGTGGGGAATCGAACTCCCAACCAGATGCCTAAACCACTGAACTATCCAGCAGTTCTGTTTGCTTAGGCTCTTGTTAAAAGGCAGCTGACTGAAGGATTTGAAAACTATAATTAGATAACCATTATTGGAAGAAACACCTGTCCATCCTCATGGGTGAGTGCAGTCTGCATCCCACTGAACTATCCAGCAGTTCTGTTTGCTTGCTCTTGTTAAAAGGCAGCTGACTGGAAGAAACACCTGTCCAGCCACATGGGTGAGTGCAGTCTGCATCTCCACTCTCCCCTGTGCAAGTGGCAGGAGTGAGAGGTGTGGTGGTCTCTTTGGTAGATGCCAGGCCTGTTGGGCTGTTTTTGAAGAGTGCAGCCTCCATGTTCTGTCCATGGGCTATAAAGGAACTGGGATCTGGCTGTAGGATTGAGAGCTCACTCCCCCCCCCCAATGGAAAATTCTTGCTCACCTGTCCCATAGTACAGATGGCTTAGGGTTATTCTGAGACCACTGTTATTGGGTCTCAGCTAATCAACCCATCCTGCTGATGCAGAAACCTGGCTAAACTTAAAAGCTGTTCCTCAGCTGTTTTGCAGGCACCCATTATTCATGAGCCTGCCCGGGTAGTAAGATCGCCAGGAGAGGCCTTTCTGTCAGTGCCACCACCCTCATAGGTGCGCTTGATGGGAACATGGGAAAGAGGTTTCTCTATTGCTGCTCCCAGATTCCCAGGCAAAGATAATTCTCTTCAGATAGGTTTTTCCTTACTGATTGCTTGTCTGAGAGCGGTTTTTAAATGGATTGTGCCATATCGTATTTAATGTGGTTTTGGTATTGCTTTTATTCACTTTCTTTTACGAGTGTTGTAATTGTTTGATCTTTTTTACCGTAGTATTTGTACACTTATTGTTTCAGCTTTTAATGATGTAAGTCACCTTGGGTCCTTCCTAAGGAGAAAATCAGGATTAAAAAAAAAACACGTTTTAAATAAATTAATAAACAGACAAACATATTTTCATGCACAAGCCCTACAATTTAAAAGTTTAAAAGCCTGGAAAACATTCAAATGTAATTATTACAAATTTTCTGGGTATAATTAATAATCTGGCTAGAGACACATATGCCTCACATGTAGTAGTATTATTTCTCAAAAGAGCACATGGCGGTCTCCCTGGCTTGCCTCAAAAATGCAGGCACATCCACATCATGCCGAGAGATGGAGATTATTCCATTGCTCATACACATTTTTCCTGGCAAAGGTCTCCATGGGGGTGGGGGGCATAGAGTCAACAAGGGAAAGAAAAGCCATTTCTTGTGGAAGGAAGGACAGCATGTTTACAAAGTGCAGGAGTGGTTAATGCCATGACACAGTCTTTCTAAATAGGAGGAATATAAAGAATGTGCTAACATCTTTTGGAATGCTGTCTTCTGGTTTTGCTCTGTATGTTTCCCTCGGTATAAGCTGTGAGTTCATTATGAATGGGTTCTTCAAACACCAGTTTCATGCCTAGAAAAAAAAATATGGATTTTATGCTTTTCATTTTGTGAAGGCACTTTCTGTGTAGATTATAGGACTAAACAGATGAATCCTGTTTTGCCATTATAACCAGGAATCGGATCTTGGGCCAAAGGTGCTTGTGCAGAGGAAATGGCTCAACATACTGTTTCAAAATTTTGACGGAGGAGGTGAGGTAGGTTTTAGAATGGCCCATACCAGTTTTAAGATACAATGGATACAAAACAGCCCTTTAAAACAAGAGTTAAATTTCCTAGAGCTGATTTTTTAATTTTTTTTTGTTTGCTTATGATTCTTTTTATGTGAAACCCTGTTCGTATTAATTCTAAAGCAGAACATCTACTATGTGCTTTGCCTCAGTGGGATCATAAAATATTTTTTGAAAAAATTGAAAACACACCTTTTCAGCCTATTATAAACTATACTTGGTAATAAGATTTGTCATGGCAAGTGCTCAATAGGAAGGAACATATGTTGCTTAGCAATACCTTCAGCTGGAGAAGCAGCTTGCATGGACACATGGAACGAGGGCTCTCAGATTTAAAAACTTCACTGATTAAAGTGTGATACTCACACCAAAACATGTGTTTGGTTGTGATTAAGGCTTTGCCCCATTCATTTATTGCAATTTAAAGTAAATTGTGGGCCAGAAAATGACAGAGTGTGGAGAGGAGCTCAACATAAGGGATGTTCAACATCATTTACATGTATATCACATCATTTTTTTTCCAGTGAGCATAAAGGCAGTGTGTATACCCAGCATGGTGTAGAGGGTCAGGAGGCCTTGGCTCAAATCTCCACTGAGCAGCAGAAACTCATTGTGGATGACCAACTGGTAAGACTACTCCTTAGATATTTCACTAACCTTGAAAGCCCTATTAGGGTTGGGTTGCTATAAACTGGTTCTGAATTGATAAACCTTTCTATTTAGCCAGCATTTTAATTAATTAGTATTCTTTAGCTGGCCATATGAGCAGCAGGATTTATTAATATTAATGTTTTAATGATTGTTTTTAATATAGGATATTATTATACTATTGCCTATTTTTAATGGTTTTAATGTTTTCAAAGTTTTAATATTGTTGTATGCTGCTTAGAGACCACTGGTAATGGTGCGGCTTTAAAAATCTTGTAAATAAAATAAAATAAAATAAATAAATAGCACTTGGCAAAGGGCAGTATACGCGTTTCCCTTTTCTGTTTTTATCATCGTAACAGTCCTGTGAGGTGGGTCAGGCTGAAAGATAATGCTTCATCCTAGGTCACCAGTGCGTTTTCTGACTCACTGGAGACTAGAACCTCGATCTCTGAAGTCCTAATCCGATGGTCTAGCCACTACCCCACAAGGGTGTTCATGCAGTAGAAGTGGCTTTACACTTTCAACTATAATTGTAAAGGCCAGCAGGTCATCCAAAATCACTTCTTTTTTTATGTTGGCAGTTGAGCAATTCATAGAGCCTTTCCTTGCTTTCTAGTTCCTCTGTATTTCCAAGACAGAGAAACAGAGACAGAAACTGTAATATAGACATTGATATAGGACAACATTGGCATTTTTAGGCATTTCCTTAAGGAAGGAAAAAATTCTACTGGAGAGCCTTCAGGATCCCTTACAGAGCTGCCATTCTTTGGGGATGGTGCTGGTAGCAGTTGCAAGACTTGTAACTTTAGTTGTTCAGTAGCTTCTGCTTCAGAGGTGCCATATGCCTATTCCAGTCAAATCTATCCACCACTTTGCCATTGAGAGTCAAGGTAGGATTGAATTTGGAGTTACTTGTGGTAGAAGTTGGAAGGGGGAGAAGAAGAACTGGGAGCTGGAACACCTGGGCTTCTTGACTGTGTTTGTGGTGACTCCTCCTGTAGATATATCAAAGCGGATTCCTTCCCAGAGGCAGCACCTCTGCACCACACAAATTGTGTTGCTAAGTCTGCACTTAGCATTGGACTTGGAATTTGCAGGAGGAGTTACGTGTTGAGATATGTGGGTCCAAAACTTCTAGCAGAACGTCTAGGAGGATCCCTGCTGTTGCTTCTTTTTTTCTATCCCTTCCTCCGCTATGCTTAATACATCACAACATTCCTTAAATCATCCCCTCCCATTTTATCATTACTCTGATATTGTTGCCAGTCACTGCCAACTCTGTTTTATGTTCCCAAAGATAAACTGTTAGTTTTGTCTTGGTCTGCTTGTAAAGAGATGTATTTCTATGGGAGGGTGAGCAGTGGGGGAAGTCAGGGATCAGCTGTCAGTATTGTTCAAAGCAGGGGGAGATATGGTGGAGGACAGCAGCTACAAGAGGAAAGGGCAAGAGGGTATTGGGTGCCTCTAATGTAGATCTTTTGGATAGCCTTGGTGTCAGGTCCCCCGAGTTGAAAGTGATGTTGCTAAAATGCCAGTTCAGGGAAATGATATGATTGCTCCTAAGCATCCCCTCTCACAAATTAGAGTCAAAGCAGCCCCTGGTTTACTGGGAAACTGGTGGTGATGAAACAAGTGTGAGGGACTAGAGCAAAGATGGCAGAAAACATAGAGTAAATATGACTGAGTATGGCTTGGACCCATTGGAAAGCCTATTCTGTAGCTGTGGCAGTGACAAAAAAGGCATTCTTCTCAGCCACTGTTTTGTCTCCACAGAGTCATTCAATGGTGCTCTTTTGAGTGGTCAAGGGCCTATCATACCACAGCCCCCTGGAAGATAATGCAGACCACACTGTAGCTTGCAATGAAGAATCTGAACAATATTTTGCGTGCAAAATCTCTCAGATCTGCTCTGACTTGGATACTGTAATTGATACAAATGGTGTGGATGTAAATATGGCCACTGTTTGCCCTGTGTCAGTGGATGAATTTTAGTTTCCGCAGCCTGATGATGTGGTCAGGACCCTTGGGGAGATGAAGGTTACCACATGTCTGTTGGACCCTGGCCTTCTCCAGCTTATAAAAGCTGCCAGAGAGGGATTGGCCAAGTGGGTAGGAGGAGTGGTGAATGCCTCTTTGCAGCAGGGTAGGGTCTCTAACAAAAGCAGAAGACATCAAGAAGAGGTGGCAAGAATACACAGAGGAATTATATCAGAAAGATTTGGATATCCCAGACAACCCAGACAATGTAGTTGCTGACCTTGAGCCAGACATCCTGGAGAGTGA